TGCTGGCCCTCCAGAGGGACTGGCTGGCCCCTGTGTGAGGCGGGAGGCTGGACTGGAGGGACCCTCCCTGGTCTGATCCAGCAGGGCTCTTTTCTGGTGTCCTTCTCAGGGGAAGGCCTCGGCCTCTCTGCCCTGTTGCTGGCCCTCCAGAGGGACTGGCTGGCCCCTGTGTGAGACAGGAGGCCGGACTAGAGGGACCCTCCCTGGTCTGACCCAGCAGGGCTCTTCTTCTGTTCTTGAGAAGAGCAACCCTCCAGGAAACAGGGCAGAGAGAGCCATGGGAGGGAGCCAATCCGCTCCACTGCTGCCCAGAACTCCCCCCCCCTGCCCCTGATAACGTCAAGCGGAGGCTCTGCGCTCTGGGGAGGCAGTACCTGGTAGAGTTGAGGGGTGGAGTTTCGTCGCTGGTGCTCATGTCCAGGCTGTCTGGGCTGATGTTTGCCGGGTTCTGCCGGAAGGCCTCGCGATGCTTCAGCGTGTCTGTGGCCACCTGGAACTTGCCCTGCTCCCGCAGCTGGCGATCGGCAAACTCCACCTGCATTTCAGTGGGTCAAGCGTAAGGGCGAGGGTGCCAACAGGCAGGCTCGCCAGGCGCCCCGGGAGGCCGGAAGTCACAGCTCCTCCACGCAACATTTTTCACTTTAAAAAACCCCCACAATGGGAAGATCCAACGACAGTAGAAGACTTGAGCTTTTGGATTTGTTACTGTGCACAGAAAACAGGCTAGGATACCTGTCTCTCCAAAGCCTGTGCATCATCGACTTGGCACCAGGCTCGTAACTACAGTGGGGTGTTTTGGGGCTCCACCCCCTCAAATGTGAGGCACGCCCACAACAGTTGCTGCCCCCTCTCCCTCCCCTCCTGTGACATTAAAAGGGCCCTCCAGCTGATCGACAGAGCACATGGCCTGCCTATCAGCTGGAGGGCTCTTTAAATGTTGCAGCCACCCATCCCCCTCCCCTCCCCCAAGATTTAAATGACCCTCTAGCTAATCAGCGGGCCCTTTAAATCTTGCAGGAGGCGAGGGAGAGGGGTGGCTGCCGGCTGCACACCTTCCCTCAACTCCAAGCTTGGAGTTGAGGGAAGGCGTGCGGGTGCCGCTCCCCCCCCCCCTCCTGCTGCCCCACAAAATTTCCCTATGCCCCACTGTCATGTTCTGTGTAGGACTGGGAGACGAGGCCTAGAGGCCTAGGGCCCTAGGAGACATGTGTGGGAGTGGAAAGCCGACACAGCCTACAATCCCCATAATGCTTAGCGACGGTTGTAACCGATCGGTGTCCAGAGATTGTGTGAAGTGATTGGGACTTAAGCTTTGTGGGCTGTGGAACTGTGTTCTTTTCTCTACTGTGGTCTTCCCTCTCACAGAGTAAAGATGAGGGGACAGTCAGGTCTGAGAGAAAGATCCCTCACTTGGGACAGAGTGAGAACAGGCACAGGCCTGGTATAAAAAGGGCTGTGGGCCTTGAATAGTAATCAGTTAAGAGAAATAGGTAGTCGCGCTAGATTCATTTATTTTGCCTTTAGACACTGTTATATATATTATAAGCACCTTGTCTTGTTATCCTTGCCCCATTACTGTATTAATAAACCATTTGTTTAATGTTCTCTGCCTAGTCATCACGCCTATGTAACAAGAGCTTTTCCAGCGTCTGGAGACAGAGGTACAGAAAAGGCAAATGGAAAGACATTTCATCTCTGCACGCTACATTTTCTGCTAGTGATCTTTATAACAGGGCTGCTGCTGACGTGGCCAGTGCTAGGGGGAGTCTCAGAGGAGGAGCCCCAGATCAGCATGCTGCCAAGTGAAACCAGGGCACAGGTGACACCAGTTTTTGGGCTGCAGATGGGATTTTCTGTTCAGACTGTGAAAAGCCAAAAGTGTCACCGCCTCCCTCAATGGTGTGCCTCAAAACGCTCGCCAAAAGCTGTGGGGCCTGGTGGCTCTGTGGTCTCGACAACTTGCAATGCAGCTTGAGGACTGGATGAAAAGCGGCTCCGGGCTGGATGTGGCCCCAGGGGCAGGGACTGGCCCTCCTCTGCCCCAGAAGCTGGGCAGAGGCGAATGCCGCCTGGAGGGGAAGGAGGAGAGACGCGACACGCCCAGCACGGCTCCTGGCCATACCTGCGCCTCCAAGCTGCAGACCCGGTTGGAGAGGTTCTTGCAGCTGAGCTCCGACTCCTTGGCCCGCAGGATGGTGCGCTGAAGCTCCTGGGCCAGGCGCTCTGACTCCCCCTTCAGCTCGGCGTTCTCCTTCTCGAGCTGCTCCAGTCCTTTCAGCTTCTCCAGGAGCTCCTGGTTCTGCTGCTTCTTGGCGTCGTAGTGTGTTTTGGCCTTCTCCATCTGGAAGGCGAGGAAGAAAGGCAAGCAGGTCACTCCCTGGGACCCCGGAGTTAGCCACAGGAGGAGGAGGAGGAGGAGGAAGAAGAAGAAGGTAGAAGTAGGAAGAAGAAGAGGAGGAGGAGGAGCTTGGATTTATACCCCGCCCTTCACTACCCAAAGGAGTCTCAGAGTGGCTCACAATCTCTTTTCTCCTCCCCTCCCCACAACAGACATAGTGTGAGGTAGGTGGGGCTGAGAGAGCTCTCTCCAGAACTGCTCCTGAGAGAACAGCTCTGAGAGAACTTGTGACTGACCCAAGGTCACACCAGCAG